GGGGGGTGCATATATGTCAGCGACCCACTATGATTAGGGGCTGCGACTGATTGGGGCTTACGGTATCTCCCGGTAGGGGCTGTGCCCTCCCTCAGATTGATTGGGCATCTGGCTTCTCATCTCCGCTCGCTCTTCATTAACCCCCATTTTTTTTTTTTGGTTTTTACCCCCCCCGAGCTTAGACTTCCTATGACTCCCAACAACATGAAGCCTTTACTGAAACAAGAGGTATATTACCCACTCTCCTGTCTGAGTCCATGGAACACTTTTACCCTTGAATCCAAACGGTCTCATGTATTTGTACTGTCCGTGTGATTTTTTAAATGAGGCTACTATTTCCTTGGTGGGAATGTTTGTCCTGCCGTCAGAAAGCTCTGTTACTTAGCCGTTTGTGCTCTCCCTGTTTTTGCATTCTTGGCTGACTTCCACCCTGGCTGGATCTCCGCTGGTCGGGTAGGCCTGTCACTCGTGGTGTGTGTATCGATGGCCCAGCTTTTTAGCAGGCGGGTACCTGATGCAACGTTCATAGCTGTATGCGTCCTGCCGTCCTTTGAAATCATCAGCTTAATAGGGAATCCCCACCAATATGAAATGCTTCTGTTCCTTAATTCTGATGTTATATCTTTGAATGCTCACCTCCGCCTCAGTGTTTCTGCAGAAAGGTCCACGTACACTTGTATGGGTCTGTATTGTTCCGGTAGGTCTTGTGGTGGTCATTTGGAGCAAAGAATGGCCTCTTTCACGTGGTTATAGTGTACTTTAGTTAGTACATCTCTAGCGGTGGCTGCGGGAAGGTGTTGTGGTTTCACCACCCTGTGCACCCTGTCCAAGAGTAGCATATTGGGTGGAATGTCTGGTGCAAAGACTTGAAATAGGCCGTTAGGTAGGCCACGAGGTCTGCTGCTGGAACAGCTTCAGGTATCCCCCTGACCCTTAAGTTCTGGCGCCGGGATCTGTCTTCCTAGTCAATGCATTTCAACTCTTGGTTTTTCATCCACACCTCCATTTCCTGTAGCCGTTGCGCCATGCTGTTGTGTGCTGCTGCGTAGTCTGCCATTTCATTTTCAATATGGGCTGTGCGGTTACTGAGGTCCATAATGTCTCGTCTGAGCTCGGCTATAGCTGAGTGGCTTGTATTTTCGTTGCCACCTCATCGAGCATTTGTGTTCTCCCTGAATTTGGAGAGTGTCTTGTGGGGAGTGTGGCCTCGACAGGTCCCTGTCTTCCCCGCTTCCGTCGCCATCTTGCTGCGGCTAGGCTGGTGGTTTCTGGCCCGTTGGTTTCGTGGTGAAAAAGGAGTGTTTCTCCTTGGCATCCGCCGTTTTTCGTGCTCCTCTCTGTGCCATGTCAAATACACTGGCTTTTTAGATGATTTTGTGCTGGGTAACAGCTGTATTATAATGCTGTAGTAGCCGTTAGCTGGGGAGCTCCGTCTCTACACGTCCATGCAGCTCGAGCACAGGCTCCACCCCTGTTGGCTACTTGATTTTAAACAACCTTTTTAGATTTTTCTTTTTGTAATTATTCATGCTTACATAACAAATTTGCACTTTCTTAACCCCTTAGCGACCGAGGACGGTTCAGGACCGTCATCGGCATTTTTGCCTTGCAGACCGATGACGGTCCTGAACCGTCCTAACGGTCTGAGTTACTTACCTGATCGCCGTCGTTCCCCCGGCGGCAATCAGCATTATCTCCGGTTGTGGGGAGACTGCCTGCAGCCCAGACAGTCTCCCCACACTGAATTAGGACCCCTGTGGCCATGTGATCGCTTAACACAGCGATCACATGGTCACAATAGGTGTCCTAGTGTCTGCCTGCAGGGGGACTGTCTGTGCTGACAGGCAGTCTCCCTGCATGTGTAAAATCAAAAAAAAAATAAAGTTAGTGTTAATAAAAAAAAATAATTATATATGTGTATACATATATGATATATAGACATATATTATATCAATATAATATATGTCTATATATCATATATATATAATGTCATACTAAGTGTATTTTTATATTAATATGTACTTATATTAATATAAAAATACACTTATAATTAAATTACACACGTATATATATAATATATATAATAACTATATATATTGTATATATATATATATTATAAAATATAAATAATAAGTAATTTAAATTAAATAAAACATTTTTTAAATAATAATACAAATTAAAAAAAAATTATATATCTATATGAAATTTTATTCTAACTGTATTTTAAAATTAATATATATATATATTTATATCAAAATACACTTAGAATGAATTTGTATATATATCTATGTATATAAAAATAAATAAAAATAATAAGAAATATACATATGTCCATATACAAAATTACATAAATAATTATATAAATATACACGTAGACTTCAAATATATAAATATGCATATATATTTAAATTCTACGTGCGTATTTATGTAATATTTTTACATAATTCAGTAATTTTATTGATTGCAATTTGAGGGACCTGCCTGCCAACCCAGGCCGAAATTCCAGAGAATTGAATTTGCTAGCACTGTATTTTACCCTGTAACGTTCTACGACACCCTAAAACCTGTACATGGGGGGTACTGTTTTACTCGGGAGACTTCGCTGAACACAAATATTAGTGATTCAAAACAGTAAAACATATCACAGCGATGATATTGTCAGTGAAAGTGACTTTTTTTGCATTTTTCACACACAAACAGCACTTTTACTGATGATATAATTCTTGTGATACGTTTCCCAGTTTTTAAACACTAATATTTGTGTTCAGCGAAGTCTCCTGAGTAAAACAGTACCCCCCATGTACAGGTTTTATAGTATGTTTGAAAGTTACAAGGTCAAATATATGGGTTTAATTATTTTTACATTGAAAATGGCCAGGTTGGTTACGTTGCCTTTGAGAGCGTATGGTAGCCCAGGAATGAGAATTATCCCCATGATGGCATACCATTTTCAAAAGAAGACAACCCAAGGTATTGCAAATGGGGTATGTCCAGTCTTTTTTTGTAACCACTTGGTCACAAACACTGGCCAAAATTAGCGTTCAATTTAGTTTTTTTACTTTTTTCACACACAAACAAATATGAATGCTTACTTTGGCCAGTGTTTTCGACTAAGTGGCTACTAAAAAAGACTGGACATACACCATATTGAATACCCTGGGTTGTCTACTTTAAAAAAAATATGTACATGTGGGGTGTTATTCAGAGATTTATGACAGATAATAGTGTTACAATGTCACTATTGATAAATTTGAAAAATGTATGTTTTGAAACCGCAATATCCTACTTGTACCTATAGCCCTATAACATGCAAAAAAAAAAGCAAAAAAGCATGTAAACACGGGGTATTTTTAAACTCAGGACAAAATTTTGAATCTATTTAGCATTTTTTTTTCATTCGCTTTTGTAGATGAGTAAAAGATTTTTCAAGTAAAAGTCAAAAAACATGTATTTTTTTCAATTTTTCATCATATTTTTCTTATTTTTTTTAAATTAAAATACATGAGATTATATAAATAATGGTATGTAAAGAAAGCCTCATTTGTCCTGAAAAAAACAATATATAATTTGAATGGGAACAGTAAATGAGAGAGCGGAAAATTCCAGCCAAACACAAACACCACAAAAGTGTAAAAATATGCCTGGTCGCAAATGTACAACATCGCAAAAACAGTCCAGTCCTTAAGGTGTTAAGCAATAATTAAAATTAATTCCTCCATGAGGTACTCACTGCTGTACCATTGTATATATCAGGTGTTATTCATTTTAAAGGACCACTATAGGCACCCAGACCACTTCAGCTTAATGAAGTGGACTGGGTGTCAGGTCCAGCTAGGATTAACCCTTTTTTCTGTAAACATAGCAGTTTCAGAGAAACTGCTATGTTTACCTATGGGTTAATACAGCCTCTAGTGGCTGTCTCATTGACAGCCGCTAGAGGCGCTTCCGTGCTTCTCACTGTGATTTTCACAGTGCCGTGCTAGCAGACACCGTAAGCCGTGCTAGCAGACACTGTAAGCCGTGCTAGCGTGATTTGTCTGAGGCATTGGTTTTGAAGCGCCTTAGCCTCTGTTTTCCCTGCCGGGTACACTATTTTGATAGTGTTTGTTTGGAGGTAATTCTTATCATTAATTTTTACGTTTATTGTGTTTATATTTAGAATTTAAATTCGATTCGATATTTTTTAAGCATTTTCTATGTGACTTATACATATATTAGTTTAGTTTACACTGTGTTTATGTCACTAAATTTGTGTAGCAATATTTAATATGCAGTGGTGACATTTCTGAAGTCCTCGTTCGACTTACTAATAACTTATATATTTTATAGGTTTTTGTATAGATTGTGTGATTCTGATTTATTTATATATGGTGCTATATAACGCTGTCTGTTTTTTGCTTATATTCTATATTCTCTGTTCTCACTCTATACTGTAGTGTCCAGACTGCCAAGTAACAGAAATTATGCAATACTGTTTATTTGGGCATTCGTCTGGAACATTTTATTTAAGATTATGACCCTGCTTTTATTATTTGATTTGAATCTATACATTATGTCACTTAAAGGGTTTGCGTAATTAGTAGATTGCAAGCTTTATTGGCAAAATTAAAGGGACTCTATAGTCACCCAGACCACTTCAGCTCAATGAAGTAGTCTGGGTGCCAGGTTCCTCAGGTTTTAACCCTTCAGATGCAAACATAGCAGTTGCAGAGAAAGGTCACCAGCGCCAGTTAAGGTAAGTAACTGAAGGGGTTTTAACCCCTTCAGCGCCACAGTGGGGGCACCCTCAGGGCACTATAGTGTCAGGAAAACTGCTTTGTTTTCCTGACACTATAGTGATCCTTTAATTACATTAGAAGGCTAGCTTTATTGTGCTTTAAACAAGGTGCTGTTGCATTTAAGTATCATGATATAACATAATGGATGTGGGCATGATGTCCCAGCAAACCAATTATTTTACAAGATGTGTTCTTTTGTGCTTTATCTGTAGAAAGCGCAAAATGAGCCAGAAAAGGGTGAATAGCAGGACTATTAATTCCTTCTTCAGTACTAGTGCAAAAAAGTCAACAGGAGCACAGTCTGTACTAGAAAGCACTTCAACTATAGAAACTGATACTAGCTTTCCTTTGTGTTCTGGTACACACGTAGAGCCAATACCTTCTCAAACTGATTCTGTGTTGCCACTGTCTGTTGATACCCCACCTCAAACTGGCAGTATCCTAATGAATGACATTGGCACACATCTTGGGAAAACAATTGATGGTTTCACCAAATGCTTGTTACTGGAAAATCCATGGCAACCTCCTCCTGGATATGAGCTACCTTTCTCTGTTCAGAACATGACTTCCAAAAATGGAGAAGCTCGGACAATCAAACAATACTTGTCAAAACAACATATTGACAGTTTTCCATGGCTAGTATATTCAGCTGTTAAGAAGGGTTTGTTTTGCAAGTACTGTGCATTGTTTGCACAACATCGCAAAGGTGGTCATAACAAAGGCATGGCACTTGGAAAATTGGTAACTGAGCCCCTTACGAATTTTAAAAAGCTTAAGGGTAAGGAAGGAGATTTGGAAGTCCATGCAAGACTTGTTTATCACCAGGAGAGTGTAACCGAAGGAAAAGCATTTTTAAAAACCTACCATTCCCCTGACAATGAAATTGTCAATCAAATAAATTCTCACGTCTTCAGAAGGTGAAGGAGAACCAAGAGCAAATTTGTCCTATCATTTAGTCCATTATATTTTTGGGTAGACAAAATATACCTCTGCGTGACCATCGAGATGATGGTGCATTAATGGATGACTCCACACCGGATGTGAATGAAGGGAACTTTCGGGAATTGCTGAGATACCCCGTTTCATCTGGAGACAAAATGTTAGAGAAGCACCTCCTTACTGCATCTTCACGTGCTACGTACATTTCAAAATCCACACAAAATGATTTAATCAAGTGTTGTGGTGATGAAATCTGCAATATCATTGTTGGTAGAATTAAAGAGGCTTGCTATTTTAGTGTAATATTTGATGAAACTACAGATATTTCACATTTGGAACAACTTTCACTTAACTTTAGATTTGTCTACAATGGATCTATTCGTGAAGATTTTATAAAATTCGTAGATGCCTATGAATTTGCAACTCAAAGTGAGTCAGGATTGGATAGTTCAGATCCAGAACTAAGGCTCACAGGACAGGCTTTAGGCCAGATGGTAATTCAACTAATCAAAGACCTCTCCCGGGACATCACTCATTGTGTTGGCATTGGAACAGACAGTTGTAGTGTTATGTCTTCAGAGGTGGCTGGTGCTGTTTCAGAAATTATTAGAGCAGCACCCAACAGTTGCAGATGTCCTTGCTACAACCATTCCCTGAACAATTCAATTTCAAAGTCATCACAAGTTTCAACAGTTTGCAATGCAGTAGCAGTGGTAAAATCAACCATTTCATTTTTTAATCAATCAGCAAAGCGTCATTTTGTTTTAAAGCAGGAGTTAGGCTCTCAACTGACCAGTCTTTGTGAAAATAGATGGGTAGAGCGCCACGATTCTCTAATAAGATTTCGGGATGGACTAGTTAAAGTGGTGAGTGCACTATCAGCAATATCTCAATGGAAATGCTCAAGCTCTAGTTCATCAGCCTCTTCTCTCATCCATTCTCTGTGCAGTGCAGAATTTATCTTTTCCTTGATTTCACTTATCAATGTTCTGAAAGTAACCCTACCTCTGAGTTGTTTTCTTCAATCTCCCACACTTGATTTGACAAGCGCATCTGAATGTCTGAATGCCACCATGAGAACCCTGGGGGATATGCGATGTAACGCTGATCATACTTTTTCCACTTTGCATATGGAGGCTATAGAATTGGCCTCAGAACTTGGAGTGGAACTAAAATTGCCACGTCTTGTAGGAAGACAAGTGCACAGATCAAATTACAATGCAGGATCAACTGAAGAATTCTACAGGAAATCTTTGTATATTCCTTTGCTGGATAACATTATTAACGATTTAAAAGCTTGTTTGCCAGAAAACACGATGCAGTGTTTCCAGATTCAAATATTGATGCCACCAGTACTTGTAAAAAACAAAATGGAAACCATGGATCCTGTTGCTATCCACTCATTATCAAACCGTTTCCACCCTCTTCTAGCTGATGGTAGCCAGATGATAGTGGAGACATTACTTCAGGGAGAAATTTGTCTCTGGCTCACAAAGTGGAAAAGAGAGTTATCCCAAAACAAGGAAATTCCACAAACAGTCCTTGAAGTTTTAGATGTGTGTGACCAGGACCTCTTTCCAACCATCAGAAGTTTACTTCTGGTCTTGGCAACTCTACCTGTAAGTGTGGCCTCTGCAGAGAGATCATTCTCAACCCTCCATCGTGTTAAAAAATGGCTACGGTCACGAATGTCAGGACAGATTAAATGGTTTGAGTTTGCTTTACATTCACAGAGATGTTCCTGTGAATACTGACCGAATCAATGAGCTGTTTGCAAAGCAAGGAAAACAAAGACTTGAGCTAATTCTGTAAATTTGTTATTTAATGTAAAAATGTTATGTGTCTGTTGCTTTTAGTGTTTGGAAAGTGACACTGTTATCAGTATATTTCTACCTTTTTACACATAATTGTGTATTTTTTTTTCGATTTTGTCTGGGAATATTCTGTTCTATAATCAGTATACAAACTCCTGATGAAAAAGTCAACAAAACTGTTAAATAATAAAGTTATATGTGGTTAAATGTCACCTGTTTCTAATTTTTTTTAAAATCCATAGTTTGGAAAGACAAATGTGACTGTTTTTAAATCAGGTTAGAGCTGTATGATAGGTTAAATAAAATAGTCTATTCTATAAGCACCTCATTATTTTTTGTCCGCCGCCACAAAACAATCTGGAAGTGCCCCTCCCGAGACCAAGCTCTGGATCCGCCACTGCTATGGATAAAGCTAGGCATAGTAAATATGGCAGAATACTGGTAAAAAGTCCTAGTTACACTGCTCAGCTGGTCAAACCTAGAGGTGTATACAGGACTAATAGCAATCATATAAGCAAAAATATGTTCACATGAATATACACACATAAAGCCTATTGTGATAGTATACAATCAATCAATGAATTAATTGAAAAGTATAGATACATAAATGAATGAATGTACAAAATGTACAGACAAAAACAAGCACATATAAAAGACATTACTAGCTTGACTGGTAGATGCTATTAACATGGAACAGAATAAAGTTTAGCATTAAGTCCATGTAGACTAAATGTAGCAACAAAAAAACGCAAAAACTGTAGACAAATAGCGAACGGCTACATGTATATCTTTGAGCAAGAGAATATCTTAACTCCCTTCCAAACCAACATTGCCTTTTACAGATGATACATCGATGACATCATCATGATTTGGAATGGCACACCTGACTCTCCCACACACATGCTAGAGACCATCAATCGGGTCCTACACTGACCCTTCAGCCTGCTTCCTTGAGCTTCTGGAAAAGATATCTCTAATGAAATAGAGAGGGGTATTAGTCCTGTATACACCTCTAGATTGGTCCAGCTGAGCAGTGTAACTAGGACTTTTTAATAGTATTCTGCCATGTGTACTATGCCTAGCTTTTCCATAGTGAGGTCCATAAGCCTCTGTTCCCATTAGTTCGGCATCTTTTACCCTGCCGTCTGTTTTATTTAGAGCCCAGCTCCATTCCCTTCCACTCCACTGTTTTTTACATTCCCTTTTTTATTTTTTTATTTTTTTTATTTTTATTTTTTATTTGCAGCAGCAGCAACCAGACCAGGGGTTAATTGTGAGTGTAGCCTGTATACAGTTTATTGATTATGTTAATGCACTTGTGGGTTATTTAAACAATGTTGTTTGTATTGCACTGTATCCTGACGAAAGTTCCTTAGAGAACTGAAACGTTGATCTTCTGTGGCAGATGCCTGAATAAAAAGCTAAGTTTTTTCACGATATTTTCGAAGTCCTTTGAGTGCTATCATTACTTATAATATATATATATATATATATATATATATATATATATATATATGTTTTCCCAGGTCCCAGCACTCAATGTTCCCGGTCTTTTCCATGCTCCGGTGCAAGTAATCTCTGACCAATATATAGCATCCAAGTAGAGAGCACTCTGGAGTCTTGGTTTTGTATCAAAATAAATACTGCTTTATTGTGCAGAATACAAAAATGTCAACGTTTCAGTCACAATAGACTTTTCTCAAGACAATTGATGCAATGAATAAACCGTGATTATATATGTTACAACAAAATTCCTATTGGAGGGTGAAAGATTGAAAGCAAGAACAGGTGACATCATAATTGACGTATTTAAACAGAATATAAACCAGGTGATTCTTGACTCAATTAAGGTTTGAAAAAGTGACCCAGTGCTAATTAAATACACAGAAGGCTATTTACAAAATAAAAACTAATGATATTAATAATAATAAGTAAACCTAAAAAATATTCACTATATCCAATAGTCCTGTTAACTAGCAACAAGTCCTGATTTTTCTGTCTTGCAATGTCCAAATGTCTATTAGCAAAATATGTATATAGAAACAAAATCAATATTATTATCCTATAATCCTATTAACAAACAACAAATCTTGATTACTGAGTCTTACACTTTCCTAATGTCTACCGGCAGAATATGTATATAAAGACAGTCAGTGTATCCCATTTATACCACAAAATCTCTTAACAATGTATATTTAAGTAATGCAACATTAGTTACAAAAATTCTCATAATAAGAACACAATGTCATAATATCCCACAAATACTTCATATGTTACTTAATTATCTTCTATTCAAAAAACAATATAGAGCATTTTTCTCATTCAACCCATTGGGTGATGATGCTCCTAAAGTATGGATCCAATATGCTTCACGTTTAAGTAAAGCCAAATCTCTATCCCCTCCTCTCGGGGAGATGGGTACATGGTCTATACCAATAAAGCATAGAACTGCCAAATTGTGACTTGCCTCAAGGAAATGTCATGACACAGGAGTCGTCGCTATTCCACTGCTGAGTGCTGTGCGGATAGTCGAACGATGTCCACGCATTCTCTCCCTCAGATCATTAGACGTTTTACCCACGTATATTAGCCCACATGGGCATATTATTCTGTATATTACGTGGGTAGTTTGACATGTAATATGGTATTTAATTTTATACACTTTTCCAGATCTCGGATGATTAAATGTCTTTCTTGGTGTCATGAAGTTACATGCTAGGCAGTTTAAGCAATGGAAACATCCAACATTGGAGGCTATCTTAGAAGATTGTGCAAAAGTCCACTGATCAGTGTGTACCAATAAGTCCTTCAGGCTTTTCCCTTTCCTGTAGCTTATAATAGGTGGCTTCTGGAACACTGTAGGTAAAGATGAATCTTTGCTGATAGTTCTCCAATTGTCCAAAATATTTAGACGTAATTTAACAGAATTAGGATGAAAAGATTGAGGGAAAACAAGTCGATCCCCCATGTTGAGATGAATCCTTTGCTCTGAAATTGATTGCAATGCCTTAATACAGCCAGGCTAGATAATTGAGTTTCAGCAACATACTAAACTCAATTATCTGCTGGCCAGAAATATTAACAATTTTGAAAATTTTTAGAAATATACTTTGTACATGATATAACAATATAAAACCCATCCCTGGGTAGCTGAGGATACTGGGAGTA